TCAACTTTTACTGCCAGTTATATCAAATTGCATGGTTCAGTATAGGTGGATGTCCTACTTGTTGTGGTTCCTTGTTTTCCTTGCTAAATTGGTTGAATCTTATTTCTTCTTGACTTTGTCTTTAAGAGATCCAATCAGAAACTTGTCTACCATGACCATGAGATGTGTCGGTGAAGTTTGGTACGGTGACGTTGTTTGTAGAAATCAAGCCAAAATTGTCTTGGGTTTGATGTATCTTGTTGATTTGTTATTGTTCTTCTTGGATACTTATATGTGGTACATTATCTGTAACTGTATCTTCTCCATTGGTCGTTCCTTCTACTTGGGTATTTCCATCTTGACTCCATGGAGAAACATTTTCACCAGATTGCCAAAGAGAATCTACTCCAAGATTTTGGCCACCACTGAAATGGAAATCAAGTACAAACCAAAGGTTTTGATCTCCCAAATTTGGAATGCTATTGTCATTTCCATGTACAGAGAACATTTATTGGCTATTGATCACGTTCAAAAATTGTTGTACCACCAAGTTCCATCTGAAATTGAAGGTAAGAGAACTTTGAGAGCCCCAACTTTCTTTGTTTCCCAAGATGACAACAATTTTGAAACAGAATTCTTCCCAAGAAACTCTGAAGCTGAAAGAAGAATTTCTTTCTTTGCTCAATCCTTGGCTACTCCAATGCCAGAACCTTTGCCAGTCGACAACATGCCAACTTTCACTGTTTTCACTCCTCATTATTCCGAAAAGATTTTGTTATCTTTAAGAGAAATTATTAGAGAAGATGATCAATTCTCCAGAGTCACTTTATTGGAATACTTGAAACAATTGCACCCAGTTGAATGGGATTGTTTTGTTAAGGACACAAAGATTTTGGCTGAAGAAACTGCTGCTTATGAAAACGGTGATGATTCTGAAAAATTATCAGAAGATGGTTTGAAATCCAAGATTGATGACTTGCCATTCTACTGTATTGGTTTCAAATCCGCTGCTCCAGAATATACTTTGAGAACTAGAATTTGGGCTTCTTTGAGATCCCAAACTTTGTACAGAACTGTTTCCGGTTTCATGAACTATGCCAGAGCTATCAAATTGTTGTATAGAGTTGAAAACCCTGAATTAGTTCAATACTTTGGAGGTGATCCAGAAGGTTTAGAATTGGCTTTGGAAAGAATGGCCAGAAGAAAGTTCAGATTTTTGGTTTCTATGCAAAGATTATCCAAATTCAAAGATGATGAAATGGAAAATGCCGAATTCTTGTTGCGTGCCTACCCAGACTTGCAAATTGCTTACTTAGATGAAGAACCAGCTTTGAATGAAGACGAAGAACCAAGAGTCTATTCTTCCTTGATTGATGGTCATTGTGAAATGTTAGAAAATGGTAGACGTCGTCCTAAATTCAGAGTGCAATTGTCTGGTAACCCAATCTTGGGTGATGGTAAATCTGATAACCAAAATCATGCTGTTATTTTCCACAGAGGTGAATATATCCAATTGATTGATGCCAATCAAGATAACTATTTGGAAGAATGTTTGAAGATTAGATCTGTTTTGGCTGAGTTTGAAGAATTGAATGTTGAACATGTTAACCCATATGCTCCAACCATGAAGAATGATGAAAACAACATCAAGAAGGATCCAGTTGCATTCTTGGGTGCCAGAGAATATATTTTCTCTGAAAACTCTGGTGTTTTGGGTGATGTCGCTGCCGGTAAAGAACAAACTTTCGGTACTTTGTTTGCTAGAACTTTGGCTCAAATTGGTGGTAAATTGCATTATGGTCACCCGGATTTCTTGAATGCTACATTTATGTTGACCAGAGGTGGTGTTTCCAAGGCACAAAAGGGATTGCATTTGAATGAAGATATTTATGCCGGTATGAATGCCATGATGAGAGGTGGTAAGATCAAGCATTGTGAATACTACCAATGTGGTAAAGGTAGAGATTTGGGTTTCGGTTCTATTTTGAATTTCACTACCAAGATTGGTGCTGGTATGGGTGAACAAATGTTGTCTAGAGAATATTTCTACTTGGGTACTCAACTTCCATTGGACAGATTCTTGTCATTCTACTATGGTCATCCAGGTTTCCATATCAATAACTTGTTTATTCAATTGTCTTTACAAGTTTTCATCTTGGTTTTGGCAAACTTGAACTCTTTGGCTCATGAATCTATTATCTGTTCTTACAATAAAGATGTCCCAATTACTGATGTCTTGTATCCATTTGGTTGTTACAATCTTTCTCCAGCTGTTGATTGGATTAGACGTTATACTTTGTCTATCTTTATTGTTTTCTTCATTTCCTTCATCCCATTGGTTGTCCAAGAATTGATCGAAAGAGGTGTTTGGAAAGCATTCCAAAGATTCGTTAGACACTTTATTTCATTGTCTCCAATGTTTGAAGTTTTCGTTGCTCAAATCTATTCTTCATCTGTTTTCACTGATTTGACTGTTGGTGGTGCTAGATATATTTCCACTGGTAGAGGTTTTGCTACTTCTAGAATTCCATTTTCAATCTTGTACTCACGTTTTGCTGATTCATCTATTTACATGGGTGCTAGATTGATGTTGATTTTGTTGTTTGGTACTGTTTCCCACTGGCAAGCACCATTGTTGTGGTTCTGGGCTTCATTGTCTTCATTGATGTTCTCACCATTTATTTTCAACCCACATCAATTTGCTTGGGAAGATTTCTTCATTGATTACAGAGATTTCATCAGATGGTTGTCTAGAGGTAACACCAAATGGCACAGAAACTCCTGGATTGGTTACGTTAGACTTTCTAGATCTCGTATCACTGGTTTCAAACGTAAGTTGACTGGTGATGTTTCTGAAAAGGCTGCTGGTGATGCTTCAAGAGCCCACAGATCCAATGTGTTCTTTGCCGACTTTTTGCCAACTTTGATTTACACTGCTGGTCTTTATGTCGCCTACACTTTTATCAATGCTCAAACTGGTGTCACTTCATATAGTTATGAAATCAATGGTTCTACTGATCCACAAGAAGTCAATGCTACATTGAGACTTATCATTTGTGCCTTGGCCCCGGTTGTTATTGACTGTGGTTGTTTGGCCGTTTGTGTTGGTATGGCCTGTTGTGCTGGTCCAATGTTGGGCTTGTGTTGTAAAAAGACTGGTGCCGTCATTGCTGGTATTGCCCATGGTGTTGCTGTCATTGTCCACATTGTCTTTTTCATTGTCATGTGGGTTACTGAAGGTTTCAACTTTGCTAGAATGTTGTTAGGTTTAGCCACCATGGTTTATGTTCAAAGATTATTGTTCAAGTTCTTGACCTTGTGTTTCTTGACTAGAGAATTCAAGAATGATAAAGCCAACACTGCTTTCTGGACTGGTAAATGGTACAACACTGGTATGGGTTGGATGGCATTTACTCAACCATCTCGTGAATTTGTTGCCAAGATCATTGAAATGTCTGAATTTGCTGGTGATTTCATGTTGGCCCATATTATCTTGTTCTGTCAATTACCAATCTTGTGTATTCCATTAATTGATAGATGGCACTCCATGATGTTGTTCTGGTTGAAACCATCCAGATTAATCAGACCTCCAATCTATTCCTTAAAACAAGCCAGATTAAGAAAGAGAATGGTTAGAAAATACTGTGTTTTGTACTTTACTGTTTTGATTATGCTTGTTGTTATTATTGCCGCTCCAGCTGCTGCCTCTGGTCAAATTGCTGTTGATCAATTTGCCAATATTGGTGGTTCTGGATCCATTGCTAATGGTTTGTTCCAACCAAGAAATGTCAGTAATAATGATACTGGTAATCATAAACCAAAATCATACACTTGGAGTTTCTTGAGTACCCGTTTCACTGGTACTACCAAGGGTTATTCCACAAATCCATTTTAGAAAGTTTCATTTTCTTTTTTAATAGAAATCATTTCCACTGGTTCTTTGTTTTTTTTTTATAAATTTTATTTTATCCATCCATTCATTCATTTATGAAATTATATATTTTAAGGGGGTTGTTTCAAGTGTAACTTTATATTAGCTTTTTTTTTATCAAAATTATTGTTATATACTAAATTCAGATTAAGATTTTGTTGAATATTGATATCTTGAATTATATATATATACAAATCTGTTTATTATTATTATTATTTTTTATTTTTATATATAAATCTATTATACAAATACAAGTTTTCTATTCGTTTACATCAATTTGTTCACATGTAAAGCCACAACTATTGGTTGTTTCGGGAGACAATTGGTGATCTTGAAAAAAGAGAGCAGCATTCAAGGGTAGGAAGGGGAAAAAAAAGGGAGATTTGTTAACAACACCGTAATCAACAAAAAAAAAAAAAAAATTGAATTAAAAAACAAATAGAAAGAAAGAAATAAAAATACATCCACGAATTCTTTTTCTGACAACAAGTTTATTCATTTTTTGTATTGAAGAGATATTACGTGAGAATAGTTCATTTCCCCATAGTAGAATCATATAAGTTTTACGTAATCAATGAGTATATTAAGAGGGCACAAATTACCTAAATCTTCGAAGATATTACTCAGTTTATTAACCAGTATATCTGGATTATTGTTAGTTCTCAAGTATGAAAGTTATAGAAGTCTTTTGGCTGCCACAAATGAACCTATTAAATTCCATGATGTTAGAATCCCATTTATTCAATTGATTCCTCGTTCAACCATTTTCAATCCATGGGTGTTAGTACTGGCTATTTTTGCTGAGATCAGTATTTTCACTTTTATTTTATCTGCTACTATTTTGTACGTGGGTAGTAAATTTACCGAAAGATTCTGGGGTTATTTGGAAGTAATTAAATTTATTCTTATAATTGGAACAATTACCAATTTATTCACCATTGTTCTTGCAATCATTTCAAATATTATTAGAGAAGATGCCAAAAATATGGATCAACCATTAGGTGGAGGCATTTCATATTATTTTGCCTTTCTTGTTGTTTTTAAGCAATTGATTCCTGAACATAATATTGTTTTATTTCAAGGATTGGTTAATTTTAGAGTTAAACATGTTCCATTTGCCCTTTTGATTATTTTCACACTTTGGTCAATTTTTATCTCAAAGTCAATGTACCCAGCCGTTCCTTCTATTGGAAGTTTCTTTGTTTCCTTTTTTTATTTAAGATTTTTCCAATCTTTGAGTACAGAACCAAACTTGCCACTTTCAAGTAATGATGCATCCAATAGCTCGGTTATCACGGGTGATGCTTCTGATACTTTCCAATTGATTGAGTTCTTCCCAAATGTTACCAAACCAATATTGACCCCTGTTTTCAACCAAGTTTATGAAGTCAGTGTCTTGTTGGGAATTATTACTCCATTCAATGATGAATCTGTTGAACAAAGTAATTTGAGAGCTCAAAAGAGACAAGAACAAGTGAACCAGAATCATAAGAACGTTGCCAATTCTGTAGCTGAAAGAAGAAGACAAGTGGCCTTACAGGTTATTGAAGATAGAATTAACAAAGAAACTGCAGCCGCGGCGGCGGCAGCAGCATCTAGTGAAAATAGCAAATAGTGATATTGAACTGTTGTCAAAGAGAGGTGGGATTACCCTAATTCGGAAGGTAATTGATAAAGGTTTTAAGATTGGAATAAATTTCATCTTATTATGTAGAATATCGAGGTCATTTCTTTTGTGATTGATTATATTTCAATTATTTTTTTGTTTTGTTTAAGTTTCTTTTGTATTACCAATTTTTTTTTTATAAAGCACAAATGTCTAAATTAAATGTAGAAGTACCTACCAACAAAGAGAGCTTGACGTACATACAAGCATCACAAATTTTGGACCACTGTTATCGTCAATGACGGTTGAAAACAATCAATAAGTGTCGAGCCAACGGCTTCTTCTTCATTAAGAATAAAATTTCGTTGTTCTTCCCACCACCAAAAGTAAAACCAAAGACAAAACCCCCAAAAAATACTGTATGAATTGAATCTGGCAGCAGAAATTGAACGGAGTAGCGCGATGAGGATGGTTCAATCTTGCATTCGAGATTTTCAGAATTTTCTTTCTTTCTTTTTTTTTTTTTTTCCTTCTTCTACTTTCACAGAATGAATGCGTGAATGTTTGATGTGCTCTCTCTCTCTCTCTTTTTCCCGCGTGTCGTTTTGTGCCATTCGACGTATTAAAATGACGAAACAGAAATTCAGTGCATTTTTTTTGTTTTTCGGTGACAACACAACAACGGACAAAAAACCGAGTTACTGTACACACACACACACACACATCGTAATCAACAATTTTTTTTTTCTTTCCTTTTCATCTTCTCTTTTGAAACAGAAAATTTTTCCTGATTCTTTTTTTTTTTTTTAAAAAAAAACAAATTCTTTGTTTATACTTTCACATTTTTGAATATTCCATCAACTTATCAAAGATTGGCTAATCCTGTCCAGGTGAAATTTTAATCAATCTTCTTTCTACTTATCCATATCATTATAGATCATGTTTAGTACAGGAGGTGGCTCAGGCACATTCAAGCCAAAGTATGGGAAGTCCAATACATCATTCTTGCCTCTACCTGCTACATTTCAAAGAATTAACCGTAAAACTAGATTACCATTAATAATAGTGGCATTGTTATTTGTTTGGTATTTTTTAAATCCACTTTCGTTCATTAATTATATATTCTTTTCGTCCACTTCCACTGTAACTTATCCAAAAGGTCATCCATTGACAAGTAGACAAACAATTGAAACAACATCAAAATACATTTATCCTCCAATTGAACATGCTCCTTTGTTAAAGAAATTGACATCCGAGAAGTTATTTATTGAACATCGTTATAGGGATCAAGACATGGATAAAGTTAAAATAAAATCATTAAATGATTTCGATGATCCAGATTATACCGTGCAAAAACAAATAGAAGATGATCAAAACAAAAAACTGGATTTAGACAAAGCTAAAAACCACTTCAAAAACCAAGACAAAATTGTATACAGTCCTTCTTCAAGTTCAAAAGGTCCTGAATTGGTTATTGTTACTGCTGTTGATTTCGATAAATATTCATTGGATGCATTAACAAAGATTGTTCAAAATAGAGTTGATTATGCTCATTTGCAAAATTATGGTATCTATGTCAGATGGTACCAAGAATTTTTACCATATTTTAATGATTTCAATGCTTTAAATGACAAGGAAAGATCAAAATGGGTTAGAGTATTTTGTATGAAAGCAGCCATGTTTGCATTCCCAAATGCCAAATGGTTCTGGTATTTGGATCAAGATGCATTAATTATGAATATGAAGACTAATGTTGATGATTATTTGTTGGAAACCAATTCATTGAGCTCCGTTATGTTAAAAGATCAACCGTTGATTCCTCCTAATGGACTTATTAAGACATACAAAAATGCTAAAGCTGAAGCAATAAGATTTATCTTTGTCCAATCTAGTCAAAAAATTGAAACCGCATCATTCATTGTCAAAAATGATGCTATTGGTAAATCAATGTTGGATATCTGGGGTGACAATCTTTACTTGAATTATCCAAATTTCCCATACGGTCCAGACTCAGCCTTAACTCATATCTTACAATGGCATCCATTTATTTTGAGTAAAACCACGATTGTCCCTACAAAGACTATTAGTGCTAGTCATACATTCAAGGATGTTGGTAAAAACTTTGCTTATGAAGATGGTGATTTGGTCGCACAATGGGATGACTGCAATAATCCAACTGAATGTGAAAGTATATTGAATAACTATTACAATAAATTGAAGAAAGCAAAGGCTTAGAATATAGGAATAGCAAAAACAAGAACACGAAAATCATCATCATCATTAGTCCTGATGGTTTGAATTGGTTAATATATAGAAATTTTCTTTTTTATTTCACTTTTATTTAAAATGTATGCGTAATCTATTTTTTTTTTTCTATTTTTCGACTGTCTCTGATAGTTTTTGCAACACGAAGCAAGTAAGCAGAAGAAAAAAAAAAGTTATTTATACTCAAAGTAAGTTTTTTTGTCTATAAAATTTGTCTCTATTAAATAAAGAACAAGATCAATGTTTGAATGACAACTAAACTCCAGGTAATACCAACTTTGGTAGAATCACTGGTGTCAACTCCATTCTTAACATATTTGAAATTATCCAAAGGTTGTGGGATAATGTCATTTTTAACTAAAGCTCTAAAATCCCATTCAGTTGCAGCTTCAGTTTTCCAACACCAGAAAATCCAACCTTGAGAACTATTTCCATATTGATATAATTGCATTTCAACAAAACGTCTATAATCCTTTTTCTGTTGCTTAGACCAATTTTCTGGACTTCTAGTAAAATCAGCACAACTACCAACTCGATCATTCGTATAAGGAGATGTACCTTCATATCTTGATCCTAAACCAACACCATTTAACCATGGTGCACAATCAGTTAAAGCTGCAGACCATTCACCAATAATTGATCTAGTGGTGGATTTACCAATAGATGATGCATAATTTTTAATATTATCTAAATGAGTTGAAACATTCAGGGCAATTTGTGATTCGGAAAACACTTCATAATGATGATGGTCAATAATCACATTTTCAAAATCTGCAGTTTTTGTAATGGTTCCATTGGTTCCATTTGCTGTTGAAGTGATATTGACTTCTCCATCAGCAATAAAGTCATCCCAATATCCAATTTGTTGGAAAGCTTCTTGAAAGAAAATCGTATTATTGACAATTTGAATATTTCTAGCATCATTATAAGATTCAATATAGAAATCTTTAAGTTTATCCAAATCAGGATTAAACGGTTCATTGACAACTTCAATACCTATAATTGTATCGTTATACTCTCTGGCATATTCGCCAGTTCCATATTTTTCATAGATTTGTTGCAAAACATTATAAGTATGATTAATATATTCAGTTTTATTTTGCCATCCAGGATATCCAAGATTTCTTAATCCTGAATTATCAAATCCATTTTGAGTATTTGGGACACCATGTAAATCAATCAAGACTTTCAAATCATTGTTACGAGACCACTCAATTGCTTTATCAAGATATTCTTGTGCTCCAGATACATATGGATCACCATCCATTTTTTCAAATGACCAATAACCTATAGGAATTCTCACCATATTTAAACCATATTTTTTAATTTCTTCAAAATCAGATTCATTATACATTGATTCCCAATGTTCAGTTAATCTTTTGGTAGCTTCTTCTTCACCCAACTTTTCACAATAATGGTATTCATCAACTGGGATATCATCTGCTGTTTCATTGGATAAAAGAGTTGCATTAAATAATGTTGGTGTGATATAAGGTTCAAGAACTAACCATCCACCAATACTAACTCCCTTGTATTGGAAATCAGACAAGTTTGTTTGTATAACTGATGAATTGAGGGACAAGACTTGAACGACAAGTAAAGCGAATGCAAATATCAAACGAAAGTAAGATACCATGTTGTTGGCTAAACTGATGTTAAACAATCAAAAGAATGAAATGAAGATTATAAAAAAGAAGAAGAAAATTATGAAAATAAAAAAAAAAAAAATAAAATAGTAACATCAGATTTTGGTTAGGATTTTATTTGAAAGGAATATCACATAACTACAACACAAAGCAAATGAAAGCACAGGAAAGTATGTAGAAAAGAAAAACAAAAGGGATTTCCACAATATGAAAGAAAATTTAGTATCCGTATGCTTGGCGAACTGAGTTGAGGATTGAACATCTGAAAATCTCAAATTAATTACATTAACGGTAGTGACTTAGTGACGCGAATAAGAATAGTTTTCTAAAATTAGATATCTATGAAACCTTTTTTGATACCTACCTTATAAAATGAATATATACAAATAAAGAGGAAACATAAAACAACAAGAAAGATTAATAAATGGTGGAATAAACAGATATGAAAAGAAAAAAAAAAAATCAACGAAAGAACTTAAGATTGGGATCAATCGTAAAAGAATAAAATAAAAATCCACAAAAAGATGAGCTCTATCACGTGTCGTCTTTTAAATTTTCTATAACTTCTTCTTCTTCTTCATTACCTAAATGGCTACCGTTTAATCCAAATCTTCTTCAGTTGGTTTCAAATCTTTGACAGTTGGAGCACCTTTACTTAAAATACTAGAAACAGAAGCTGGTGGATAGACAGCAATCATCATAACAACCAATTCATAAACATCTTCTGGAACAGTCTTTTGATAGATACCCAAGATATCAGTAGGATTTGGATAAACAGCCAAAGCTTTGTAGAAACAAATAGCAGCTTCAGTGGCATCAGTCTTTGCTTTTTGTTCACCAAGGGCAACTTGTTCCATGAAAAATGCTTCTCTTTCAGTCAAATCAGTTGGAATTGGGTTCTTTTCTAAATCTTCCAATAATGCCTTTTTAACAGATTCCAATTTATTTTGTTTAGATTCAGCTTCTTGTTTAGCTTTCAATTTCTTTTGCTTAATATCTCTTTTCTTTAATGATTTTCTAAATTCTGGAGAATGTCTACGTTGATAATCAAAGTATACTGCGTATCCTGTAATAGCAGCAGCTGCAACAGCAGTTATAGTTAATGCCTTGTTCATTTTATTATCAATTTAAGGAATCTGAAAAAGATGAATCAAAATGATGTGGATGATAAAAGTAGTAACTCTATCAATAAGATCGGCTTCACTTTTTTTTTTAGTTTTCAACCCATTTTTCTGTTGCTTGATGGTCAATTTTTTTCCTTCGGTCTATGAAAATTTTTAACTATTTGTTGATTTCCCAACATGGCAATGTACGTCTTTGAACTCGCGCATATATAGAATGTCTTATTTTTCACGACTTTTTGATTGGGCGAGAAAATCCAGAACCAAACAGAAAGTAGAAAAGGAAAAGGAAAAAAAAAAATACCATTGATTGAAGAGTTGATTTTAAAATATACTCCCAACACCATTACTACTAATATTATTAATAATGCCTGAACAAGTCGAAGTAGCAGAAGTTGTTCCACTTCCAGACTCAAGTTTTAAATACCCAAGTCCATTAGCCAACTTTTCAAAAGGTATTGGTTATCCAGCATGGACTCCAATTGATACTCAAAAAGAAGTTGGTCAAATTTTAAGATTTGGTTTCTACTCAACTGTTGGAGCTTACGCATGGTTATATTTCTGGAAAAGAACTACATTTAAATTACAATTACCACTTTCTGTTGTTGCATTCTTTGGTATTGCTAGAGGTGTGCAAGATTCTGTTGCTAATATAAGAGAAACCAATGATTGTTGGAACACATTTTGGGGTTTAACTTCTGCCAATGCTGTTGTTTTAAGTGCTGGTTTCAAAAACATTCCACCTAAACATAAGATTATAACTGCTGCTTTTGGTACTGCTGTTGCAACTATTCTTGATAGAGCTTATTGGGCCCAATCTACCAGTTCTCCAAGATTGGAAGCTAAGTATGAATTGGCTAATGAAAATGAAAACTTACCAAAACAACAATTCTGGGATGTTTGGCAAAGAAAACCATTAACCCAAACTATTGAAGAATTGGGTGTCGGTAGAGGTATTTTTAAACCGTAGATTGTTTAAATAAAGAGGACTACGTAAGGTGTTGAGTTGTGTACATTATTTATCCATATATATATATTCCAAAACCAAAAACAACAAGAGAAGTTTAATAAACGGATTTAAGTAATTGAGATAATTGTTTATTATTGGTCTATGTACATAAAAGAAGAGAAAGATCTTAGATAGCTTTAAATGGATATGGGATTTCCTTGTTAGTTTTCAATCTCCATAATTTCTTTTTAGTCTTTTTAGTAGCATGTTCAACAAAGATTTCTTCACAATATTTCTTCTTCCAAGCTCTAACAAAAGCTGGATCCCATAGTTCACTAGCAATTCCCAAATCTTTACAACATCTCATTAAAGCATTACTTTTACAACCTTCTAAAGCAGTAGTAATTTTGTCTTCGCCACCAAAATAATCTTGTTCTCCACGAGCAATACTAACTAATCTACCATGACAAATTAACCCATATTCACGACTAATTTGAGTTGGAGTTATAAAAGTTTCTGTTCTTGGAGCCAATCCCCAACCACCTGGACCAAACGCACGATTCAAAACTCTACGGTATTTAATTTCTGGTAAATATAATAATCCATCCGGTTTGATCTCAATATCTTTAGCATCTATTGGTGTCAATAAAATATCAGCAATTTCTCTTGAAAATGGTTGTGACCCTAAACCATGGAATGAATCAGACCAATTAATAGTTCCATTGTTATTATTAAAGAGCGGAGCTTCTAATGGAGAATCATGAAATAAAGCACTACCATGACTTCCCAGTTCATTACCAGTTCCTATAATATCATTTTCTTCTTCTCCTTCTTGTTCAACTTCAAATTCTTCTTTTGGTGTAGTTACTGCCTTTGGTTTGACGACTGGACTGGCTCGCTTGTAGGAACGATTATATGATCTTGTTACAGTGCTGCTAGCCTTTGTAGTAGCAGTGACATAGTATCTAGTTAAAGGAACACGGGATAACGAGTACTTTATTGGATTTAGCATTGTGAATATGTGTTGTTTATAGTACATTACAAGTAAACCAAACAACCAGTTTTTTTTTTTTGTTGTTCCTAGTTTTGTTTCACAGTAAATAACTGTAGAATAGAATTTTCCTCACATCAAGTTTTCGCCTTTCCATGACGCGTGTGTACGTTGTTGCGACAAAGATATTGCAAATTTAAAATACTTCTTCTAACTTTGTATGTGTACATCTAAAATTTTCTACAAAATAAATATACAATATTTAAACTACTCAGACTTTTTCTCTCCTTCTGGTTTTTTGGAATAATTAGGAGCTGGCATATGATTGAACCTCCCAAAGTATTCAAAATCGAATAAAGATTTTCGGAAAGGTTTTGTCAACTCAAACTTTGCAGTCAAATGATTATACTCATTGTTTCCTTCAAGATTCAATAACAGTTTCGTCATTGTACTATCAAACATAAGTTTTTTTTCTCTTTCATGCAAACCAGTTGCTCTTTGTGTTATATAGTACTCGATTAGAACATGCCTGTTTATCATCAACAATCTAACCTTGTCTTCAAAGTTCATGTTTTCGATTAATTCTATGATATTCTGCCGTCTCTGCTCTTCACTAGGGGATTCATACTTCTCAGGTTCAAACGCAGGTAAAAGTTGAGATTCTTCTATCCATAGTCTTACTGCTGGAACATAATAGTAACCTTGGAAATAATACGATGATACACCTTTTCTATATTCATAAGTTAACATCGTCATTATATCATTGGGAACCAACACCGGAGTTCCCCCAAGCATCGAATATCTCAAGGGGTTAATGCTTTCATAAGTTGTCCAATGCTTTCTTCTATCCATATAAAGTTCTACTGGTAGATCTTTTGATTTTCTGTCGTCCACATATTCATGGAATCTGTATGGAGGTTTTTCATCATTCATTCCTACTCCCGTGATATCAATATAGCTACCAGTATCAATATCAATAAATCTTGCATCAATGTAATTATCTCTTCCAGGAATATTTCTATGGTGGAGAAAAGTTGAACAATCAATCAAATATTTACCATACCCTTCATTTAAATCTTCGACGACTATAGTCATATTATAATTAAGAGCTAATCGAGCCAATTCAGAAGAGGGCATTTGAAGATCAATATCAATATCATATGGAAACATCAAACCATTCCAAAACCAAGCTAACAATGGACCATGTGCAATCCAAGAAACAATTCCTTTAGCTTCAGCAAATTTAAACCAATTCCGAAGTAATCTATCTAAAATAATCTGTTCACGGACTTCTAGTTGTGGATATGTCCAACTATCATCTTTCAAAAATTTCATAGCCCCATTGAAAAATCTCCATTCATAATGCCAGCCAGTATCTAGATTTAACTTACTTCTCCTTAAAGTAGCCAACTTATAATAAGTGGGTTCATCTTTGGCAGAAAATAAATTACAATACTTTAGACTTTGATAATAATTCAATTCACGAGGGGTTAAATCAGTATTGGATTCAAGTTTGTTTTCTCCCCTTTTCTGATCAATTTGACCCAACCTTTCCTCAAACTCAATTATTTGTCTATCGATATCCGCTTGAGAATAATGAAAGTAGGAAGGATCTAGATTTATTTCTCTTGTGATTGTTGTATCTGATTTATTTTTAGTAATTTTATTCACACCATGGATATCATCGTCTGGATCAAGGGGACGTGGCTGAATAGTAGATAACAATTTTCCAAACTCTTCTTGAGGATTAAAAGAGATTCGCAAATTTTCATCTAAATGGTTAGCGTCAATTCCACGACGCATCAAGAATCTTTCAAATAAGTCACTATCAACAAGTCTTTCTCTCTTTGGTGAAATTTGAGCTTCATAAGTACCATTGGGAGTTAAGAAAATCATCGAGAATGGGTTTTCTTGATGAGTCAACAAGAATGACTTTCCTTGCATCATTACTGGCTTATGGGTAGCTTTATTCATTGGTGATTTTTTCACTACATATCCTGGCAACTGTTCTCTTGTAAAACCCATTTGTTTCAATTCATCATCAGTGAGATTAACCAAATCAACACAATAATCCGAAAATTTTGGCCGTTTGTTGGAAAATCTTTGCAACCAATCACAATTATAACGCTGATCAACTGGTTTAGATAATTCTTCATTCAAAGCAGTCAAATCAACCCAATCGGACCAAGCAAAAGGTAATTCAATTAAATTATCCTTATCCATTAAGTTTTTAGGATTTTGAGTTTCGAATTGGTGTCGTAATTCATCTAAATATACAGCCAAAGTAAATCTAGGTTCATAATACAACAAATGGTTATTCTGCCAAGTGATTTGACCTTTTTCCTGTGGAGGCAAGAAATCCTTTGGATTTAGATCTACAGAAGGAAACTCCATACTGGAGTTGCCCAACCAAAATTCATTATTTTCGTTGGTTGCAACTTTTTTCAATAGTTGTAAAATCGTTTGTTGTGCAGTTGAAGAATCATAACTGCCATCTTGATTTATAGTCATCTTTTCTTTTGATACCACCTCATGATCAAGAATGTACTCAACATCAGGATCAGTGGAATTTTCGATTTGACCTACATTAGGAAATTTGAGGAACCTGGACTTGATAAGATAACATATATTGAAAATTAAAACCACGATGAATATGGTTCGTAGAAGCTTGAGATCTGGCATTAGTATTCCTTTTTGAATTTTGAAAAGAGGTATTCCTTCAGTTGTTTAACTCCTTGAAAAATTAGTTGACTTTTATCTAATGGACTTGAGGTCTAGATCGAATATAAAACAAATAAAAAAAAAGGAGTATAAGGTATAATCAAAAATGGAGTGAAAAACTAAAAGCAGGAAAAGATGCAGGGTTAAAATATATTCTACATCAGTTTATAGTTTTTGCTTTACTGTTTGTAACGTAATATGTTGTTTTGCAAAAGAAGTATATATCTCTATAAAAAAAGGCAATATTTGTACCTATAATAGAGTTCCCAATTTGGTTAAATAATAGTAAATATAATATCCAAACAATTACGTGTTACGATTTGATTATTTCTGCAACTTAATGCAAGTCACGGGTAGAAATCTTTGTAACAGTTTAAAAAAAAACTTTGTGATTGTTAAAGATTGGATTGTTGCAAACTATTTAAAGTGGGACAGAAGGAGAGAAAGTCATTACCCGTCAAATCGTTAGCTGGAAATAGCAAGGTTGAAAAATGGCGTATTGATAATCAGATTTAGCTAAGAATAACCACACGTGATTTCTGAACCCTACCTCTGTTATTAATTTCAGGAGATATTTTGTACAGGTCGCTGATGTGTGATTATGTTAAATTTCTTTCTTTTGTATAATGTATTTTCATTAATTATTATTAATACTCCAATCGATAATATTATAGTTCTCAAACTTTCTTTTAAAAGAAAACAAAAAAACACGAATGTTAATGTTAAATTGCAATAATAATAATAAGAATAATAATAATAAACGACGATAGTGTGGGTAGTATTTATGTGTCAGGTTGAATTCTTGACTTATTCAATTAAATGAGAAATAAACCGGAGAAACTGGTTACATTGAATTGACACTCGAATATTTCCACCAGAAGCCACACGTATAGGAAAATTATCATTATTATTGTTGCTTCTTGTTTGGGTGAGTACCAGTTTGAGTCACACCTACCTATTAATGTTACGTGTACATTGATTATTCATAAATTAAACCAACAGATCTGATCACACGAGTATTATCACTAAGGTTCAGTTTTTCTTGTCCTGGAGTGGATAAAAGGGACGATGGTTGAGGAAATACGCTCACGTCGTCAAAATAAAAATTTTAATGCCCAAAAGAGGAACACGCCAAGATATGGGTTTTTGTCGTTTTTTCGATTATATACGAATAGTATGGCCAGGGCTCATTTGAAGTCGGATTGAAGCAAATTTTTGGGTATTTTTTGATTATATTGATGGCTTTGTACAATGAAGTACAACTTGTAATAAGATTTCAAAAAGTTTTTGTTGAAATTCCTCGGTAAAAAAAAAACTTCCACCTATTTGGTATAGAAGGATTAATCGAACACTACAATATATAAGTATCTAACCATAAGTATTTTATATTTACTAAGATCTATTTACTGTTTAAGTTAAATAGACTTGTATATACTAACATATCCCAATATAACAATATAAAGAAAAGCAAACAATTCTTAAAACATTCAATGTTTTCTTTAATTTATTCTAAACCGTTACCTGTTTAATCAGTTTGGGTCAAGATACCACCCTTCAAGATGTTGGTGAATAAAGAAGCAGTATCGAAAATACCATGGGTGATCAATTCACTGGCCAAACCTTGAACAGTGTATTGGGTTCTTTTTTCAACTTGAATTTCTTGACTCTTGGTTGGGGTAACAACAGCTGAGTAAGCAGCAGAGACCATAAGGGTAGAAGCTAAAACGGTGGAGAATCTCATTGTAAATAATAGCAAGATGGGTATAAATTGAATTGAGGGTTAATTGATGAGAAAAGAAAGAAATTAGAATTGAAATGTTATCTACAAAGAAAAATCCTCTTTATTTATATAGATCCAGAGAAGTCAATCAAAAATAAAAAAAAAAGTATGGCCAAACGTTCATACAATACGTTGCCTTACTTTGATTGTAGAAAACAAATTTTGTTTTGTTGCAAAATTTTCTCTGACAAAATACAAAAATACCAAAACAGAAGAACAATAAAATTATCGTGGATTGTAAATAAAGATCTGCCAAACATGTACGTATAATCACCTAAATGTCAACATAAACTCACAAAAAATGGGTGCTCCACTTATAGTAGTATCAAATAATTTTGTCAATTGGATATAAGTAATTCCCTTCAATCTAATCAGTTTGAGTCAAAATACCACCATTGGCGACATTTTTAAAGAAGGTCAAAGTATCAAAAATACCATGGTAAACCAATTCACTTACTAACCCTTGAACGGTATATTCAACTCTTTTAGCAACATGAACTTCCACAGTTTTGGTGGGAGTGAGACCTGAAGCAACGGACAAAACTAATGTGATAGTAGTAGCAATAGTAGCGAATCTCATGGTTTAATATTAAGTGAGTCTGTTTATATTTTTTTTTTTTGTAGCAGGGATCAACCTAAAATTTCAAGTTAGAATAGGAAAATAATGGTGGCTTAGAATGAACTAAAATACAGAGCAATGAACCGATTAATCGAGAATGTACTTTCAATATATACCGTAGAATCTCTCTTTTGGTGAATTGAAACATTTAATTAGAACCGTTATACTCATTTACTGTGGAGCTTATCACTTATTCTAAATTTTTTTCGCAGTAATTGAGAATGAGAGGATTGGCGGAGCACAAAAGGAAGATTTTCGATTTTAAGCTGAAACTCAAGCAAAACAAAAAGAAAAAAATAACCATAAAACAATCTACGTCAAAGAAGAACCGCAAACAAAATAATCCAGTGTTAGCGATTCACGAGATATCCATGGTCTTCAACAACCTCACATGTTGTTTGCCAAGCATCATCGAGATCTCAAATGATAACAAGAGATTTCAGTTACGATAGGTTATTTCTTGGAAGATTCCTAAATAATCTCGTGCCTGATATCTCTCTCAAAGAGAAAAATAAAACAACCAATGTGTCAAAGGCAAATGACGATCACATTCCGACGTAAATCTGGTCTCAGAATACCGCGTTAAATTTGATATACAGCCAATCATATGGATGTGAAACGTAATTACACCAATAAACTCCACATCAATAACGTAGATCTAGAAACAGAAATAAAGGTTCTTGGCATGGTATAAAGGAATACTGATATCGCTTCATTTTCTTCTACAAATTTCATTCTTTTCTGTATTTTCCATTTCCGTTATACCAATTCGTCCACAATGCTTAATCCTTAGTAGAGAATTTCTTATCCTCAAGAGCCTTCCGAGGTCTTGGTATTTGTTTATATTTTTCCAATTCTTCCACTGTGATTATTGAATGATCATAAACAATGAACCAATTCAATTCTTTCTTGTGTTTCATCCCTTGATCATCAATCGGGATAATCAATGAAACAGCCTTACCCGATATCTCCATTCCTTTTGTCATTGATGAAGGGAAGAAATGGAACGTGGTGTAAGAATTCAAGATGATCAAACCATAACTTTACAAAGAAACTCGAGGTAAGGATTATTGTACTAGAATGATTCAGTTGCCCAAGTCGCTGGTTGACTAGTGGTACTTTACGTAGGATATTTTAAAAATCTATTTCGAACTGAAGAAACGTGTTTTTTATTATCGATAGTGCGGTCGTTACATGGTAATGGTTATTAGAATAACATTCATTATGCTTTCTTTATTGTCCAGCAATGCACAACTTGACGACAGATAGTTCTGATGCAATAAACAAGGATAAATTCGCTCTATTTTAACAAAAACTTCCATACTTAAACTAAGCCTTTATTCCAATACAGGCATCTATGTAATCTATCCAAAGGATTATTGATGCAGGGGTTAAATCGAAGAATAATAAGGAAAGAAAGGAAAAAAAAAAGAAACCATAGGTGGCTACAACAGTTGCGAAAAAGTTTAATTTTCTCCTTTGGTGAATAAGAGCGCAAATTAGTTGCATAAACATGGTAAATCCTAATGAGTTTCCCCAAATTTGAAAACATATCTACAATAATTCAATAGTAGTAAAAACCGACTTTGTATGTAAAACAAAGAAAAAAAACATCCATTATATAAAAAAAAATAAACAAATAAAAATACACATTATTCATGAATATAAGTAATAATAATAAGAATAAAATTAGATAATGCAACTTGGCATAAATATCTCCGACAACTCTCTCTCTGTACTATGGAATCTGATTTATTAGATAAATTGTGTTATTGAACCTTCACAGCTTTGACATCACATGCTAGTGTTTGAAAATAATATATAATGCATGGATTATACCTGGGAAATAACCCAAAATTGTAAGAAGAACATTGATCCAGAATTGTTTACCAAGACCAATTTCCATGAAAACACCCAATGGTGGCAAGATGATAGCACCAATGATTTTGAAAATATCTGTACAAGTGAAAGCCATTATTGATTAGTTTGTTATTAATTTGAGGAAGGGTTAGTTAATTGAGCAAGTTAAAAAAAAATTAAAAAACTAACTTCACTTTCTTTCAATGGGAATTTACTCCCCTTTTATAGTAGGACAATGTTTTTTCTTTCTTCGTCTAAACAACAGCAAAAATAAACATGACAGGAATGTTTTCGATTTGTTAAGATTGCTGCGGTTAATAAGGAAACTTGTTGCACGCAAGATTTATTTTTACAGAAATGGTCACGCACGACCATTTACTTAGCCTCACATATGGCGTGTAGTTATAGTAATTATTCTGTCATTAATCTACTGTTTGCTTACACAGAATATGTTGGTTATCAGACTACTACATATAATTTTCTTTATTTCATTGGGTGGTATATAAATAGGACCACTGAGGCTGGGTACCAATGATCATGAATCGCAATCGAGGGTATTAAAGTAAAAGTTTATCATACTACATATTTGCTCTTGGCTAAAACTTTACACAAGAGGATGAATTTGACTTTCAATGGAAAGTTGCGATGCCAATAAGGTCATATATTTAGTCATTTGAATGGCGGATATACGGCTAATGTTTTTCAACTTATTATTTATTTATTTTCATCACAATGTCTTGATGTATCACTTCTACCCTCGAAAGTTTTGCCCTTTTTCTTTTCTCTATTTTAGTACATATCATGCTTTCTGAATGAAACACTGCCCTATTTCTAAATTGGGAATTTCCGACAGATGTCATGATTTGAAGAAAAAAAAATAAATCCAATCCCTTCTTCCTCATCATTCGTTTGTTGTTACTGTTATAATTATAATCAATTGATTTTCCAGATCATCAGATTCTCTTCATCTTAACACATATCTCAATTGAAAATCGGTGCACGTGATCAGTGACAAAGTGGTCGTGCAATGGTACCAACTATTACAAAAAATTTTCGTTTCCAGTTGATGAAAAAAAAAAGCGAAAGATGAATCATCAGTGGGTCTAGTACAACCTGACAAACAAACATCCCAACACTTCACTCCACCTAACTTTGGTATTTTAAAAAAAATAAACAACTTTGGGCAAAAACAAAGAAAATGTCTGATTTCCAATTACAAATATTAAAACTTGTGAATGATAATAATGGTGTTATTGAAAACACCCTTAAGTCCTCAGAATTATCTAAAATAGATGCCAATACTTTACATGCTAACTTGACTTCCTTATGGGCCAAGGAAATGATTGTTTTCAATAAAATTGAAACTGATAAATGGATTTTAACTAAAGAAGCTCAAGAATATCTTAAAGTCGGAGCGACTCCAGAAGTTCAAGTTGTTGATGAAGTTTTAAAAGCTTTGGAAGGATTGACTATTTCTAAATTAAAAGAAAACTTGGGTAGTATCGGACTTGTTGGACAAGGTAAAGCTTTCAAAAACAAATGGTTGAGTAAAGATGGTGATAAATTAATTGCCAATGTTGACAAATTACCAGAAGATGTTGTTTTAAACGAATTGAAAACAATTAATGAAACCGGTACTTTGGATGATAAAAAAGAATTGAATGAATTGAAAAAGAGAAAATTAATCAGTTTAACCAAGATTGTTGGTTATAAAATTGAAAAGGGACCTAAATTTGCTCTTGAAATTGTCAGTTTGGAAACTGATATTACTTCCGATATGGTTTTGAACCAAACTTGGAAGGATGCTCAATTCAAACCATATAACTTCAACTCTGAAGGTGTCTATCCATCTTCTGGTGCTTTACATCCTTTGAATAAAGTTAGAGAAGAATTTAGACAAATTTTTTTCTCCATGGGATTCACTGAAATGCCTTCTAACCAATATGTTGAAACTGGTTTCTGGAATTTCGATACTTTGTTTGTGCCTCAACAACATCCAGCTAGAGACTTGCAAGATACTTTCTACTTGAAAGATCCAAAGACTGCTAAAGAACCAGAAGATAAAACATATTGGGAAAATATTAAACAAGTTCATCAAGAAGGTAAATACGGTTCTATTGGTTACAGATACCCATGGAAAGCTGAAGAATCATTAAGAATGGTTTTAAGAACCCATACAACTGCCATTTCTGCTGCTATGTTGCACAAATTAGCCCAAGATCCAAAACCAACTAGATTGTTCTCTATTGATAGAGTTTTCAGAAATGAAGCTGTTGATGCTACTCATTTGGCTGAATTCCACCAAGTTGAAGGTGTTTTGGCTGGTTATGATATCACATTAGGTGATTTGATTGGTTTCATGGAAGATTTCTTTGGTAAGATGGGTGTTGACAACTTGAGATTCAAAGCTGCTTATAATCCATATACCGAACCATCTTTGGAAATTTTCGCATACCATAAAGGTTTGAAGAAATGGGTTGAAATCGGTAACTCTGGTATGTTTAGACCAGAAATGTTGGAATCTATGGGTTTACCAAAGAATTTGAGAGTTTTGGGTTGGGGTCTTTCATTGGAAAGACCAACTATGATCAAGTATGGTGTTTCTAACATTAGAGAGTTGTTGGGTCACAAGGTTTCATTAGACTTTATTGAATCCAATCCAGCTGCTAGATTAGATGAATTCTTGTAGATTTCACAATGAAGAAAATTAATAGAGTAGAGAATGTGTATATACTAATAAACATGATAATTTTTATATACCTTGAGAGAATGTGTATTTGCAGAACACATCGTGGTTTCAACAAAGAACACACCGAGAGTTCAACAACGAAATTCGAAAAAGTGCGTTCAACAGAGTTATGTAATAAAAAAAAAAAAACACTATTGAAGGAAAAAAAAAATATCACCAACAACCGTCATATATAGTAATTGAAATACAGCCAATCTAGAATGGAAGAACCACAAATTAAGACTGAACCTTCGAATGATATATCATCAGATAAACCACATTTAGAAGAATCATATCATCACCAATCGAATTCTAAAAGACCATCAACACTTGGAGCTCCAAATGATTTTAAATGTCGTTGGACTGATTGTCCGTCATCCAATTATACAAATTTAACAGGTTTAGTGAATCATTTAAATTTAACCCATATAAATACTATCCCAGTAGGATCACCTGCAAGTAAATACATTTGTTATTGGGAGAATTGTGCACGATATGGATTAGAACAACCAAGTAGATTTGCTTTGGTGTCACATTGTAGAACACATACTGGAGAAAAACCATATTTTTGTCCTGTTCCTGAATGTGAGAAACATTTTACTAGATCAGATGCATTAACTAAACACGTTAAAGGTGTACATGAATTATATTCTATAAGAGATCAATTGAATATATTGAAAGAGAAAGTTAGGAAAGGAATGGATATTGAATTTGATGTTGATCATCTATATGAAGATGAATATTTGAAGATTATTGAACATGATTATGAATTACAGAAACCGTGGTGGTTTACAAATGAGTTTTTGAGTGTTTTGAGAACAAAAGAGGAAGAGCAGACAGAAGACGATACTATGGTTGATTTGAAATCTATTGATAAATTACCATTTGATTTCCAACAATATCGAGTAGCGAACTCAAGATATAAAAATTTTATAACTCTTTCGAGAGAAGAACTTAATGATGATGAAGAGATTGAAGAATTAATACTGACTCACGATGAGAATAATAATATCGTGAATGTGGCTAAGAAACAGATCGTACATGAGAATCCCAAGAGAAGTTTCCCACAAGTTAGCAGTAATTCAATCTTAGAGAATTTATCAAGTTCTACAAAGAAATTGGTCCATGATTATAATTCGAAGGGAAATATTAATGTTGATGATATTGAGAAGATTAAAGATCTAGATCAGTTGAAAGAATTGCATGATAAATTAGCCAATCAGTTGAACACAGGATACAAAATCAACAAGATACTAGCTTCGCAACTCATTTCAAGTATTAAGGAAAAGAGAAAGTTGTGGTTATACAATCAATTATTAATTGATGCGAATTTACAAGTTGGTTTACCGCCGGATGGTAAAACGGGTCCAAAGCAACGAGTAATGCAAGATAAGTTTGATAGTGAGTTATTGCATAAATAAATCAATAAATAAATAAAGTTGAAAGCGGAGAATAGTTGCCGAGTTCTGTAATGACCTCATATATGCATAGTTCAATATATATGTTTGCTTGTTTACGTTTTACATCATAGTTTATTAAATAGATTAAGATTCATTGTTACAATTAGTAATATTGTTATGTAGTATCAATTGCCTCACTTTTGTTCCTGTTGTCCTTGTTGTGTGTAAGTGCTTTCTTTTAGGCAAGTCATTGTATATGTACTTTTAGAAGACATACAGAAGAGATTAGGCAAGAAAAAAAAATAAAAAGAATATTAAACCAGAGATATGGGCAAACGTGTGTTACATGTGTTTCAAAAGTAGAAGTTACATGGTGCCCAATAGTTACTCCTCTTTGAATTTTATTATCTTGATGGTTATTGTTATTATTGACTATTGTTATATTGTGTGTATCAGTTGTTGTTAACCACAAGAGAACTCGAATGACCCAGTCTGAAGAGTATTATGAAGCTGGGGTTCGTTAAAAACATCAACTTAATACAAAGATCGGCACATTATACCTCCACATCTTCAAAAGAACAACAACAACAACAAAAAAAGAAACCTAGCAGACGTCCTCCCGGGGTCAATTGTCAACATTTATGACGTGTCATGGCTTAAGGTCAACGCAATGTGATATTAGTCATTTCCGAATGAAGAAGATGAGAGTGGGGGAAGAGAAGGCTAAGATAAATGAAGCGATAGAAGAGAAATAAATAATTAGTGGTTCTATTTTTATATCGTATTCACAACTTAGTTAGTTTTACAGCTCATACACACACAGAACGAATTTCATTTGATATTTCTGTTTATATATTCCACTTAGTTATCTTTTCTTTTTACTCGATATCTGTAGTTTTCACAAGACCAAAAAGTAAGATCAATTGAATAACGTTGGAATTGGTATGTCATTGCTACTATCAACACCAAAATATTGTAACAATACTACAGTAATGGAAAGACAAATGAATAACTACAAAAAAAAGAAAAGGAAATTAACTTGATACATAATGGCACATTTAATATTGTTCGAGAGCAAAAGCTATAAGAATCTGAAGTTGGATGGAAATAATATTTCTTGTATAAAGAATAATTATCACAATTTCAACTTCTCGACACTCAGGGCAATAATAACAAAGGAATCAAAAAGAAAGTACTAAAGCATGCAATAATATATATTTTACCCCTTTAACCCACACAATCCCCTATGTGTACTATATTCTGTTTCATTAAATAACCCGTAGTAGTAACACAAGGAGGTATTCGAACAATTGTATCATATAAATTGTAAGGTTTAAGATAAAATACATTAATCATTTATCATATTTAACCTTTTTTGGTTAAAACCATATAATGGTCATACACGTCTCTCCCCCAAGCTAAAACAATTCCACCTAAATTCGTACATCTGTATATTAAATTAGCCACATTATTTTCAAGGGAAAACTCATATATAAAAAAGAGTAAATGTTTAAAATCAAATTGTTCCCTTCATTGATATTCCAGACAAAGATTACTCAAAAGCCCGATATTTATCTTCATATTGAATTGAAAACTCAATTCGCTGATAAGCTATACAGCATCATGTTTGCCGTAAATAACCCACATGCAAAATTCAAATCCAAGTATAAAACTACAAAAAAAAAAAAAATAATAGCATGCTCTTCGTTAAATATTTATGCAAGATGAAGCATTCATGTGTCATGAGTTATTTTTAACAATAATACCTGATCTGGTATATATTTCTCACCAATACACCCCAATAAATCTCCTCATAGTTAAATGTGCAAGATTCTGTTTAATTTACATCAAGACTTGAAAGATTATTATCAAATTCAAGTCAAGGGCGTCATACAAAGAAATAAATGAAAAAATTACGATAAAGTGATAAACCCATGACATTAAGAATAACCTTCTAACTTACATACTCGGTGATTAAACTTCAAATGAACACCCATCTTTTCCGTCTGGAAATAAGGTAATTATTTGGAATCATCTAAGATTCTGTAACATAGTCGAATCACCAAGCTTATCCCGTTGAATATTCAAAATTGGAGTTCATGAAACTTTTTTAAACGTCTTTCAAAGATTTCAAATATACTCAAAGTGGTGTTATTCGGTTTTATTTTCGGCATACAGTACTTTCTTTTTAGTTTTTATTAAATTGAAAACCTAATGCCTTTCTTTTATTTCTTTCTTTTCTTTTATTGAGATCCGACCCAAATTGAGTAAATGTTATATTATTGACTTTGATTTTGATGATGTCAGAATAATAATAATAAATAACCTCGAATTCCATTTTCTTTTTATTCTTCTTCTTCTTCTTCTCTCGATGTGTAATTATTTCAATTTCCCCTTATTTTAATTATTGTTGTAGTATAATTATGATCCAGATAATAAATCTACATCAACAGAAAAACACAATAAAATGTCTCTCCACTTTCTTAAATTCCTTGTATACAATAATAAGGTAAAAATAAAGCATTGTCTTTATTCATTCCCTATGAGCCTTGTTCTTTACCTATTACTCTAGTTCATTAACCGTAACACGAGATTCCTTTATCCTCTCACCCTAGTATTTTTCGCCGTTTCCTCCCTTTTTTTTCCCTGATGATATCTTCGTAGATTGTAACATCACTCCGTTGTTTTTTTTTTTCTTTTTTTTTCTTAAAAAGAAAACAAACTCGTATCCTATACCTGAGTGAAAGTGATACAATGTAGTATTGTTGTCAACTTATTTACTCCTGTTATAATGTAATATTCAAAGGGTACACCATAACGTATAGTATGTGATTAGGTAATCGCACGCATCTTCACTGATCGCAGCTGCAAAATTTATTATTTGATTTCGGTTTATTCTGGGGGGTTAAATTATTTTGATTTTGTGTAGCGGATCAGTCGAGAGGATGGAAATCAGGAATTACGATGCACGCAAAATTAACTGGATAATCAAGTAATGTTCAACAAATGAGAGTAAGAACGTAAAGAACAATGCATTTATGTTAAATTCTCCCCAAAACTACCGCCCCACAGTTGTTGCTATGTTTCCGAGAATTTCGGGTCAAACAGTGGTTTTTTCATCTTATGCTTTACACTTTGTTACACCCCCCTCACAGTATTAGTTTGCTTTTAAGCTGTATAGTTTAAACTTGTTTTCTATTGTTCCGAATCCTCTTTTTTTTATTATTTGAATGTAGCCTGGGTCTTTATCAAGAATAAAGGTGGAAATTCATTATTTACACAAACCAACAAGAGGAGGTACAAGGTACAAATAATTGTTACACCACAACTATTAAGACTACCACAATTGCAAAAAAAAAAAAGAAAAAATTCATTTGTTACGAACCTGGTATTGACAACTATTTTAACAGAAAATGAAACATTACAACTACAACTACAATTACAGGACACCGCCTTGAAGTCCAATAGCATTTGTCTAGACACGGGTTATAGAAGGACAAATACTCCACACTTCATCTATCTAATCTCGTTGTCAATAGATTTAAACGTAGCCAGCAATACAAAAATTAAAAAAATCAGACTTGATAACAGGCGAGGTCATTTCACACATAACTTTTAAACTTTACATATATAAATTCTTTTTCTTTTTTTTTTTCTCCTTCTTAGGCTTCTACTTCGATTACTTCTGGGAATAGTGGCTAAGTAGAATTCTAGTGAAACGTTAGTAGTTTCTGTTGTTTGATTGGTCGTCCTTACAATTCGAGCAAAAAAAAAAAAGATACAAGAAGCTCTTCGGGAGAACTTCCTATGTTATATGAATATCTTTCAACTGCACCTCTTCTGAGCCGCGCAAGATTTCATGTGAATAGCCCCTTCGGTTAGATAATTGGCTCCTTTTTTTCTATGGAGTTATTCCGTTCCAGTTTGATATCTTGGTTGATTAGGTTTTGAGTTTTTGTTCGATGTATTTTAGATTTTTAGTACAATTTTTTTTTATAAGTTCTTCGTTTCTTTTTACTTAGCGTTAAATGAAACTGTGCAACTTACATGATTCGTTACCAATTCAACCTAACAATAGATAACAAACTAACTCACATACTTCTGCGCTCACCAAAGGCACATTAAATACAAAAACTGTATTTGAGGTTACTTTTAGTAAAAAAAAAAAGTTCTCGGTGTTTGTTTTGATTTGCTTTTTTTTGCCATTGCTTCTCTTTTGATGATGATGATCATGATTTTTATTATTTATACTTGTGTAGCACATTGTTATTATTAAAGTATCTAAGGTTATTTAATATTTTCTTCAATTGACAGCTACATGATTCCGCAGACAATAAAGTAGAACCATTCAGATGGTTAATAACAATGCTTTTTGTATGAGAAGATAAAAATAATAATTTTAGAAAATAATACATATACTAAAATAATTCTAAAGCAAATCGAGTTTCTATATATTGTATTTAGCTGAAGAGGAGGAGGAGAAGTAGTTAGCAGTAATATTAACCTTTTCCTAACTTTTGACTATAAATATAACCTCAATTGGCACCCAAAAATTTTATACCATTTTTGTTTAGAGAAATCTTTCTTTCTTCTATTTTATTCCTCTTTTTGAATCTTCTATTATTCTTGTTCCGTGTATTATATTTATATCCACTCATCCAACCCCCCACCTTCCCCTGTATTCAAAGTTGTCACAATCAACCAATTGTTTAATCCTATTATTACCACTTCTGCCATGTATAAAGCTGTGAACTTTGAGGATCCATTATCGGAATTCGAGTTGGCTTTTTATGATTTTATTCCAGAAGAACCAACAAATATTGCTGCTACCACCAAAGACATAGCCGACAAGACGCCAAGCTTATTTATAAATGCAAATAATGATTTTGATTTTGATTTAAATAATTGGACATCGGAAGAATCAACAAATACTTCACTTGTAAATTCTCCAACAAATAATTTTAAACAATTGAATTCCAAAAACTCATTATTAGCTTCTCCATTACAAGATTATCATGAGATAAATCCAACCACGGTAAATTCTCGGTTGTTTGACAATCATAATGAAACTCAAGGAAATAACGATATATTCATGTATGATTACACCACAAACAAACCAAAGAAAAATAAGTACCGCGTTAACAAACCATCTTCGAGTTCCCCTTTGTTGCGCCTCCCTTTGAAACCTTCGGTTACAATAGCCAATATAGGTACTTTAAGTCGTTTAGAAGTTAAATCGTGTAAAGCTGCCATTCCAAAAACTAATGTGGGAAATCCATTTTACAAATCACCCATGGAGACTAAATCAAAATCAAGCACAGATACCTGCAACAACAACAATAGTAATATCAACAATAGTAATATCAACAATTGCAATGATTGCGATACCGATGTGGAGAATGATTTTGATAATGAAGATGATCAAGTGATTTATGACTTGTTGGTTGATGGAAATATACTGAATAAAACGAACCAGTTGCCAATATTAGAGACCAAGTTTGTAACATTTGATGATAATTTAATATTTGATGATTTATTAGACAATCAACAAGATATACATCCATTTATAAAAGATAATATACCATGGAGAGTATAACAATTAAAGGACAAAAAAAGAAAAGAGAGATCCAGCCAAATATCCCACGCATTCATTCAGTTTCCGGAAAGCTTGATATTCAATAAACCTTCATTTCTAATAATATTTTGTCGTTGTTTCCATTTACAGAAGATAGTATCATAGATTATTGTATAGTCCCCACTGCCCTCTTACATACTTCTCTTTATATTAATTTTTTTTTTTGTATTGTATTTATAATATATTAATTCTCTATATTTCACCAATTAAAGGCTTTAAAGCGATAGGCAATAACTCTGCAGCATCACCTTTAAATCCCCAAACTCCAGGTTGATTACCTTTTACAATATCTTCATCAATATCAATATTAAATATAGCTATTTTACCACCTTTAAGCTTAACTCTTTCGATAAAACTATTTGCCGGATACACGGTTCCGCTTGTACCTATAACTAAAATCAAATCAATCAGTGGATCTTTGCCTTCTATGAAATTATCAATTTGTGAAATTAAATTTAAAGATAAAGATTCACCAAACCATACCACACCAGGTCGTAATAATTCATTACAAATAGGACACAATGGTAAGTCTTTTTCTGGGATTGATTTTACTGGTGTAAATTGTGGTGATAAAGAAGTAGTACTGATGTTCGTACCACCACTATTGTAATCCGTTTCTCCGATTTTCCTTTTTCTTGTTCCTTCAATATATTCATTTTCACTTCCTTCTAAAGCTTTAGTTAATGGATGATTGAAATTATTATGATCGACAAAATTACACATAAATGAAGTACATTTCAAATCAAATAAACTGCCATGGATTTCAAATAACTTATTATCATCATGATTTGATTGTCCATGTAATCCATCATTATTTTGAGTTATTGTAATGTATTTGATATTATCCAAATGTGATAATTTACTTAATGCAATATGTCCTTTATTTGGTGATGCTTGTAATGCTTGATATCGTTTATATGAATAATATTGCCACACTAGACTTGGATCAATATAAAATGAATCTGGTGTGGATAAATCTATTGAATTGTAATTTTTATAAAGTTCTTGTGTACCATAAACTATCGGAAGTCCTGAGGATACAGATAACCCAGCACCTACTAAAGATATTATTTTCTTACTTTTTTTTAGACAATCTTGAAATTCTAGAAGTTGTTTTTCATCCATGCTGTTGTTGGATATGTTAATGTTGAGTAATTGGAATTCACTTGTTGGTGGGGAAGAAAAGCTGTCTGTGTAATTTGAAGTCGCGAATAAAAATTTTCCTGTTTATAATAGACTCGATTGATTTTGGTGATCTTTTATTTCTTTTTTTTACTATTATATATAATGAAACAAAAACTATATTACAAAAAGACTTATTAAAACTAGAATAAAAAAAAAAACTATTAAATACACAATTATATTCTTTTTCATTTTTTTTTATAAAGATTTCCTTTATTGAGGAAGGCACTATGGATAGTTGGCTTTACTTCTTTTGGTTCAATTTCCAAGCCAAATAGCTGGCAGAATGACCTAATTCAATATTTGAATTGGTTACAATCTTATTCCCACTGAGTTGCACCGGTGGTGCTCTATAGAACAAAACCTCTTCACTTACTTCACCATTTGGACCAACTTTTCTCCTCTTGTTAACGAGATCACTCAAATCACCCAAACTATCATCATCATCTTGTAAACCATAAGCTAATGTACCTCCTTCGAGCAAGTTAGAATATGAAGATGTAGATGAATGATAGGTTGTTCCTGTAGGTACAATACTGGTTGGAGTAGGAGTGGTGGCTTTTCTAAACAACTGTTGGTGTTGTTGATGTTGCAATTGCTGTAACTGTTGTTCTTGTTGCTTCTTTGCTTGATTCTCCTGGATCTGTTCGTGCAACAGTTTATAAGTTCCTGGAAATTGCGGTTTGTCTGCTTCACGAGGTAAAAGTGTTGAATCATTACTAATATTGTTTTTATTCGAATGAGCAAGATTGTTTGCAGTTGATGCAGCGATACGTGCAGCTGCTAACCCAAGTGTATCGGTAATTGGTTTGGCAGGTACATGATTTGGACTACCATGAGGAAGTGCAGGAGTAGTAGCGTAAACGGTATTTGTGGAACCACCACCACCTTTCAATTGGGAAATTGGTGTGAACAAGTAAGCAAGACGATTAGACTTTGGATCATTGTGTTCGGGAACGGCAACAACATTCTGACTACTGATATACTGTCCCAAATCATCATTAGGTAATGGGGCATCAATGAAAACTGATCCCGAAAGTGGTGGAGAATTGGCAGTACCTGGAATAGGGTCAGGAATTTCCATGCCTTCAATTGCGTCGGGAGCTAACAAATCTTTGATAGGTGAGTCATACTTGATTAATTTTCTTGTTTCTGGCAAAGGAACTAATGGCTGTTCAGGATCATCTCTCACCTCATCTGGTAAACAGGCTTTCCAAGTTCTGATACGGTTAAAATGATGAGTGTTTTCATTATATCTAAACTCACAGATAAACCAAGGTGCATTTTCTGGAATAACACCTTCCGGTAAGTCACCCTTCTGATATCTAGTTAAAAAAATAACATAACATGGTCCAATAATGTCATCAACCAAATGATCTCTATATTGTCCAGTTTTACAGACTTCATTCATAAAGAACAATCTATCCACAGCATGGCATGTCTGTTCAGGACGATAATACCAACACATGTTACAATATCTTTTACCATCTTCAGTACTCCACATACGGAAAATTTGTCCAACAATTGGTCTGTCAGGATCAGCCGGATTCTTCATCAATACCCAGTTACCAATCTTATACGTATATCCATCGATTTCCAAACTTTCCAAAGGATATCTCAAAATACCATCACTGGATGAAGATGTACTAAGAAGAATTTCCTTGTCAGATTTATTCAACTCAGCTTGAATGATGATATGAGCTTCTTTTTTGAATTGTTGGTAGTCCATAAACTCTTCACTATAAGGATCATCTTGATAATAAACTTGTACATTGGCAAACATCAAGTCCAAATCATTGATAAATTGTTCAACAGAAGAATACTTTCTACTTCTAACCTTTACCCTAATTTCATTCAAACTAATTGGGTTAGTTATGGTCTCATAGTAATCACTGTAGATTTTAGGATCTGGAAGTTTCTCAAAATGTTTAGTCAATGGTTTATTATTGCTATCACGTAATTTCTTGAAACCTTTCAAAATCAATTTGATACGTGTTTCAAATGGTTTGTCAATAATTGGAGGTCTACCTCTTCTAATACCACTTTCAATTTGATTTTCCTTATGTCTTCTTGTCGAAGTGTTGGAGTTGGTGTGGCTGCAGGAACCGGGTATGGCAGTCTGGTATTATAACCTGTTGATACTACCGGTTTAGACAAAGAGACAACAGAAGGTTCTATAGTTTGTGGGGTAGCACTCATTTCATAGTCATCACGTTTAAGAGCACCAGCCGTACTTGAACCAGGAGTGGCTTCCGAATTTTCAAAAGAAAATGCAACTAATTCATCATTATCCTTATCTTCAGGTAAATCGCCAATATGCGGATAAATCAATTCTTGCGCATTAAATTTCTTATCGCTTTTCAATTTTGCAATCACCACATCAGTAATGTATTGTTTTAAAATTTGAGCTTGCCTGTAAATAATAGATTCTGGTTGATTGTATAATCTTGCATTCCATGAAATCAAAGCCAAATCATATATAAATTCTTGAGCATTAGCATATTTCAAACTTTTTAATTTACGGCCCACAGCATGAAGTGATAATGGATTTTGAACAATTTTATAGTAATCTGTTCCTGATCTTAATGGAACAGTTTGAAAGGTCTTTGAGATTAAATAACCTCTATCCTCAATTTTATAAATCCCATCAAAGAGTGGTTGTAACTTATTCAGTAACTTCTTCCTTTCTCTTTCTGACATTGAATCGATTGAATGTTAAGGGAACAAAAAAGAAGGGGTGGTACTGTTTTGTTTATTGAACTAGATTGATAAAAATCTGGAGAGAAAAAAAAAAAAAAGTTGTTCTGGCTCTTGATTTTTGCTTTCACGCTGGCGATAGAAAGAAAAGGTTCTGTTTATTTTTATTGTTTTTTTTTTTGACCACTTCTCATTCTTTCCTTTGTTTTTTTTTTCTGGTTTGTACAGAAGAGAACTTTAACAAGTGTACACGACTTTTTCTGGCACGGGTCAGTTTTATTAGATATGAAGATGTATTAAATTGTGCAAACTACTTCAAAATTAGATCGTTTGTGTTTTATTTCTTTTCATTGGACACACAACCTTTCAATAGAATTATCTTTGTTTTATTTTTTTTTATTTTGATTGTGATTCTTGTTGTGTTTCAACTTTTTTGAATGCCAGATAATAGTTCCAATTAAATTACGAGTGTGATATTTAGAGAATAAAAAAAAAGGAAGACAGAGAGAGACAGAAAAAAAAAGCATTAAGAAAAGTGAACAGCAGCTTTCAAATAGTTTAAACTAGGAGTTAACAAACAAAAAAGTAATATCAAAAAATGGATTTTGAATTGGAACCTACTTTAGAAGAATTGATTAAACAAGATACTTTGAAATGGATCTTTGTTGGTGGTAAAGGTGGTGTTGGTAAAACCACCACTTCTTCATCAATTGCCGTTCAATTAGCTTTACAACACCCAGAGGATGAATTCTTATTGATTTCTACTGATCCAGCTCATAATTTATCTGATGCTTTCTGTCAAAAGTTTGGTAAAGATGCAAGAAAAGTTGAAGGTTTATCAAACTTATCATGTATGGAAATTGATCCTGAAGCAGCTATGAGTGATTTACAACAACAAGCACAACAATACAATAATGATCCTAATGATCCTTTGAAAAGTATGATGAATGATATGACCGGTTCTATTCCTGGTATTGATGAAGCTTTGTCATTTATGGAAGTCTTGAAACACATTAAGAACCAAAAGGTCACTGAGCTGGATACTAAAGATAAGGTTTCTTACAGAACTATCATTTTCGATACTGCTCCAACAGGTCACACATTGCGTTTTTTACAATTACCAACTACTTTGCAAAAATTATTAGGAAAATTCCAACAATTATCGGGTAAATTGGGTCCAATGATGAGTATGTTGGGTGGTGGTGCTCAAGGTCAACAAGATATGTTTGCCAAATTGAATGAGGTTCAAAAAAATGTTGAAGAGGTTAATGAACAGTTTACAAACCCTGACTTAACTACTTTTGTCTGTGTTTGCATCTCTGAGTTCCTTTCCCTTTATGAAACTGAGAGAATGATTCAAGAATTGATGTCCTACAAAATGGACGTCAACTCCATTGTGGTTAACCAATTGTTATTTGCTGACGATGATGAAAATCCATGTAAAAGATGTGTGGCAAGATGGAAGATGCAAAAGAAGTACTTGGATCAAATGGCTGAGTTATACGAGGACTACCATTTAGTTAAGATGCCATTATTGGGATCTGAAATTAGAGGGGTTGACAATTTAAAAAGATTCTCCCAATTCTTGATCAAACCTTATGATCCTAAAGTAGATCGTGCTATCATTACAGATTTGAAAGAGCAATAAGTAATTAGTTTCTATAGATTCTCCAAAAAAATATACTGGATTCACAATATAATAAATAATTACATACAGGAGTTCGTAATTGTAAGAGAAGCAAAAAAAAAAGCTTCAAGCGAGACAGCTATTTTGCTAAGGGGAGAAGGGAGAGAAGAAGGAACAAGTGCGAAAAGTATTTTAAAAGGTGGTATCAAACATGAGCAGAAAAAAAAAAAAACTTGAAATTTTCACATTCAAAAAGAACTAACCCAGGCAACTTTTAGGTTAAGTGACGTCCGGCAAAGACGCAGGAACAATTGAGTATACTCATTTAACATTCCATTCCCTTCTTTTGAATTTGACTCAACAGATTAAAACAAAAAGAAAATCACAAGTGTTTAAGATCCTTTTCTTTGGTGAACAAGGTAATTGAAATTGATAATGGCTAGAGGTAATCAAAGAGACTTGGCTAGAGCCAAAAACTTGAAAAAACAACAAGAAGCAGCAAAAAGTCAAAAACAGGGTGATAAGAACAAACGTATGGAAACAGATGCTGAGCGTATGAGAGCTAAGCAAAAGGCAGCTGATGAAAGAAAGCAAGCTGAACTAATGGCAAAAGGTCAAAAGAAATAGAGTTTTCTAATTATTTGTTGTTGTTATGTGACAATCTTCCAGAGCAGTATTGGAACAATGTAATTGATTGTTTATATCTTCAACCCATGTTATATGATTTGTGTAGAGTTTGAATTTAATACAAATAATTGTATTCAGCTTGTAGAACAGGTATTGTCAAGTGTTTGTTAAATCCTCTTTACAACAGAAGGTGCAACTATGCACCTGATTCTTTTTTTGATCAATGTGCACGAATCGTTTATTATTCCACCTTTAGTAATTTTGAACGACTCCGAAAAAGTCATGTTGACTAGAAACCAAATCTCAATTGACATTGAATTTTTTTTTCCATTTCTATTTTTTATTTTTTTTATATTAATTGAAATATTTTGAAAACATTATTGTTTTAAGTAAAACCAATTCCATTCACTAAACATGTTAATTGAAGAATCTTATCACGATGTAAAGACCGCAGATGGTACTACCATGCGTATCTTTACTTATCACCCAAAAATCCCAAACTTTCCAAAAGCTAGATTTCCAGGGGTAATTGTCTATAGTGAAATTTATCAAGTTACTGGACCAGTTTCTAGATTTGCCAAGGATATTGCTGGTCAAGGTTTCATTGTTGCGGCACCAAGTTCTTATCATAATTTTGTTCTGCACGAACCATTGGCTTATGATGCTGAAGGTACTGATTTGGGTAACAAATACAAGATTGAAAAGGAATTGTCTTCATATGATGAAGATACTAACTTAACAATCGATTATTTGACTAGCTTACCAACTTGTAATGGTAAAATTGGTGCAACTGGTATGTGCCTTGGTGGTCATTTAGCCTTTAGAGCTGCTCTTGATCCAAGGGTATTGGCGCTGACATGTTGGTTTGCTACCGACATTGCTCAACACTCTTTGGGTAAAGGCATGAATGATGATTCATTAAAAAGATGTGGTGAGATCAAAGGTGAGCTTCTTTATATTGCAGGTACCAAGGATACACACGTTCCATTTGAAATGAGATCTTTGATTAGAGAAGAATTACATAAGAATGAAGTTGCAGTTCATTTTGCCGAAATTGATTCTGCTCAACATGCTTTTATTAGAGATGAATCCTCCAAGGGTCGTTATGATCCTGCGGTTACCAAGTATTTGTTTGATTGGATGTTGGAAATTTTCAACCGTAGATTAAAATTGGATTATGGTGATCACGATGGAAAGGACAACAAAGTTGAACATGTTTGTTAAGTAGGAGGTCTATATTGTTTTATATACAAATATTCTTCTTATCAATGAAATAAAACTATCAACCACAGTAGTGGTCCCAAAATAAAGGTTTACCAGAATTGATCACAATGCACGACTATTCGCATTCGCACGAACAAGGTAGTAAAATTTTTCTTTTTTTTTTTTGTCTTTCTACGAGATTTCTGATTTTTTTTTTTTTTCACTCATCAATACTTTCACTAGATTTTCAGATCTAATACATCATCCATAACAAGAACAACTAGTACGACATGAGACCAATAAAGTTGATGGGACATGAACGTTCCTTAACCCAAGTTAAATACAACAGAGAAGGTGATTTATTATTTTCTGTTGCAAAAGATAATGCTGCCTCAATTTGGTACTCATCAAATGGTGAAAGATTGGGAACTTTAGAAGGACATCGAGGGGTTATTTGGTCCATCGATGTTGATCCAGAAACTCATTTATGTGCCACCGGAGGTGGTGACTTGGCTATCAAATTATGGAAAGTTGAAAATGGTCAATGTGTATATACTTGGGAATCCCCATCTCCAGTCAGAAGAGTGGCATTTTCAACAAATGGTAAGAAATTATTGGCCATTGCTGATCAAGTTATGGGACACATTGGTACAATTTCTGTATTCGACATAAATGATGATGATTCTACTATAACTCAACAAAATGCCACTCCAAGTTTGGTCATTGAAACCGATCCAGAAGGTTCCAAAGCTACCGTGGCTGGCTGGTCTGACGATGATGCTTTTATAATTGTTGGACACGATAATGGTTATGTTTCGAAATATGATGCTAAAACTGGTGAATTGGTTACAAGTTTACAAGCCCATGGTATACATACAGATGAAAAGAACGTCAGTATTACTGATATCCAATTTGCTCCAGAAGATAAATCCTATTTCATTACTTCATCCAAAGACAAAACCGCTACTTTAATTGACGTTGATACTTTTGACGTCTTGAAAGTTTACAAAGCTGATGCTCCAATGAACACTGCTGCTATTACTCCAGTTAAAGATTTCGTCATCTTGGGTGGTGGTCAAGAAGCTAGAAATGTTACTACTACTGCTGAATCACAAGGTAAATTCGAAGCTAGATTTTACCACAAAATTTTCGAAGAAGAAATTGGACGTGTCAAAGGTCATTTCGGTCCATTGAACACCGTTGCTGTCCATCCAGATGGTACTGGTTACAGTAGTGGAGGAGAAGATGGTTTCATTAGAGTTCATACATTTGATAAATCTTATCATGATTTCCTTTTTGATGCCGAAAGAACTGAAAGAGCCACTGCTGCTGGTACCATCTAGATGCATCCATGGCTGGTGAGGAGGGGGCTTACTATTCAGATTTACAGTTAAACAGATATTTGTACACTTGTATTTTTCTTCTTCTATTACAATTATTATTTTTCCTTTCTTTTTGTATACTAGGTTCAAATATAAACAAAATTATAAAGTAATAAATCAACATGTGAGACTGGTATTTTCGGATCTTAATATGCGAGAAGTTTCCAGTAGTTTCCAGAATAGTCTTTAGAATTGCCAGGGCTGCAAAAATCTTAGTCAAAACAGTGCTGGAAAAAAAAAAGGGGGAAGAGGGGGAAATCCAACAATTTCTGACTATATAAAAGATGAACAGCAGCAATAATATAATGAACATAAAGTAAAACTTTTTTTTTTCCTATTGTTTTCAATTTATTCATTCATTCTGAACACAATTATAATGGTGAATTTATTTAATAGTTTTTCAAGTCCTTATGATGATTTAGTCAATCATTTGGGTTCTTCTGGTCAAGGATCCGCACAAGCAAGACGTAAAACCACAAACAATCCTAATATTAAAGTTAAAGAAGCAAACAAATCAGATCACCATGAAATACAAATTTTTAATAAAACAGGTTACAAGAATTTTAAAATAGAAGTCGTTAAACAAGGTCAAGAATATTATTTGATGGTTCAATCATCAGTTGATAGATTTGAGAAATTTTTCAAGTTGAATCCTTCAAATGATAATTTACAAAATGTAAAGTCCCAGATAGTTGATGATTGGTTGATCATTTCCATCCCATTTAATGCTAAAAATCAGACAAAAACAACTCCGAAAAAGCAAACGAATACTCCTAAGAAGCAACCAAATAGTCCAATTCCTGCAAAGAGTCCTACTCCGGCGAAATCACCCCCACCATCAAAAAATACATCAACAAAGACTACACAAGGAAAAAGCCCACATTCACGTACAAAGAGTCCACCACCGTCAAAGTCTAGTTTCTCAAAAGCAAAGAGTTCAACCAAGAACTTGTTTTCCCGAGGCAAGAAATCACGTACAGAACCTCCAAGTTTATTAGAAGCAGCTAGACGCAAACCATTTTTAGAAGAAGTTCCAGATCCTGGTATTTGATTTTTTTTTTCTTGTTTTTGTAAATGGTTGTTAGTAAGTTTCCTTGATGGATAGTACAATTATATAGTTATTATTATTACAGTATATAGAACAAAGAGAATAAATTGCGCAAAATCCCAATCAAGTAAGGTAATGAGCGTGTACTTTGAACTAAAAGAAAGAAGGGGAAAAAAAGTTTTTTTTTTTCTGTTGCTTTTGCAATTTTTCAGCTTCTTCTTTGATTCACACTAGAATTTTATCAAATAATTTTTCTAACCCATTTCTCCTATCATTTTCTAACCTTGTTCTCTTTTTTTTTGTTTATTTTACAACACAAACAGAAATTACAACGATTAATACAAGGACATAGATCTCGACTTTATTTCAAGAAGGTATCAATAGAATAATAATAATAAAATGGCAGACCCAGAAAATAGCACTACGAATGATATATCCTTATCGGACGTGGAATTAGGAGGGGGATTCATCGTGGATGATAAACCTAAGAAAAGACCAAGAAGAGCAGTAACAATGAAAGTAGAATATACAGAACCAAAGGATTTTGACCTAGAAGATGATTCGGTTGATTCTGATACATATGCCAACAATCCCGCTCCCTCAAAGAAACGAAGAACGCGTGCAAGTACGCGTAGTCAGACAAAGGCAAGGTCGAAGGCTAAAAAGGAAGCTGCATCTTCAGATGACAGTGACGATAATGGAGATCAGGAATTTACATTAAGTTTGGATGACAAAGAAAGTGATACACCAAATTCTGATGATGATATTGAGGTTATAGAAATCAAACGCGCTAATCAAGTTGGACCGTTTGCAGTCAATATTATTGACGACTTGTCAGTAAATGACGACGATACCCCTCTTGCCATTATTGGATCATCCAATAGTAGCCTGAATGTTGATGGACTTGACCAATTTAGTATAGCTAAAACTGTTAGATCGAAGGGTACAACCACTAAGCGTAAGAAACGCGCCACCAAGAAAGCACCAAAAAAGAAAATGACATGGTATGAACGTACCACCATGAGACTATATGAACAGCATCCATATTTGAAGGATGTGTTTACAGATTTAAGAGAAACGGATACAATAACACCCGAAAGAGCGGAACACCCACCGGGTATGACTATCAAACTTTTACCTTTTCAACTTGAAGGTTTAAATTGGTTAGTCAAACAAGAAGACGGTAGATTTCAAGGTGGGGTTCTTGCCGACGAGATGGGTATGGGTAAAACAATTCAAACCATTGGTCTTTTTATGCATGATAGGACGAAGAGGCCGAATTTAGTTGTTGGTCCAACTGTTGCGTTAATGCAATGGAAAAATGAAATTGAAAAGCATACAGAACCTGGACTGCTTAAAGTATTGTTGTATCATGGAGCTGGAAGAAGTAATAATGTGGCGGATCTTTCTGACTATGATGTAATTCTTACTTCGTATTCTGTCTTGGAATCTGTTTATAGAAAGCAAAACTATGGCTTTAGAAGAAAAGCGGGATTAGTCAAGGAAGAATCAGCATTGCATAATATTCCATTTTATCGAGTTATTTTAGACGAGGCTCATAATATCAAGGATAGAAATTCCAACACTTCCAAAGCAGCAAGTGAACTAAATACCCAAAAAAGATGGTGTCTAACAGGTACACCATTGCAAAATAGAATTGGTGAGATGTATTCCTTAATTAGATACATGAAATTGGATCCATTTCATTTATATTTCTGTACCAAATGTGACTGTAAAAGTACACATTGGAAGTTTTCTGACGGAAGAAGATGTGATCATTGTCAACATCCACCAATGCAACATACTAATTTTTTCAATCATTTTATGTTGAAGAATATTCAGAAATATGGTATAGACGGACTTGGTTATGAAAGTTTTTGCAATCTCAGATTATTATTGGATCATATGATGTTAAGAAGAACTAAAATTGAAAGAGCAGATGATTTGGGGTTGCCACCTAGAGTAGTAGAGATCCGTCGTGATGTTTTCAATGAAGAAGAAAAAGACTTGTACACTTCATTGTATAGTGATTCCAAAAGAAAGTTCAACGATTATGTTGCCGAAGGGGTGGTGTTAAACAACTATGCTAATATTTTCACGTTGATTACTAGAATGCGACAATTGGCTGATCACCCAGATTTGGTATTGAAGAAAGTGGGAAATAATGCTCTCAGTGGTGATCTTGATGGTGTCATCATGTGTCAATTATGTGATGACGAAGCAGAGGAACCTATTGAATCGAAATGCCATCATAGGTTTTGCCGAATGTGCATACAAGAGTATGTTGATTCATTTCTGGGTTCAAACTTACAGTGTCCAGTTTGCCATATTGGTCTTTCTATTGATTTGGAACAACCAGCAATTGAAGTTGATGAAGAATTGTTTACTAAAGCATCAATTGTTAATCGTATTAAACTGGGTTCGCATGGTGGTGAATGGCGTTCATCTACAAAGATTGAAGCATTGGTTGAAGAGTTGTATAAGCTTAGGTCTGATAAGCATACTATCAAGTCAATTGTGTTTTCACAGTTCACTTCGATGTTGGATTTGATTGAATGGAGATTGAAAAGAGCTGGTTTCCAAACAGTGAAACTTCAAGGGTCAATGACACCTCAACAACGTGACAATACCATTAAACATTTTATGGAAAACACCGAGGTTGAAGTATTTTTAGTTTCATTGAAAGCCGGTGGTGTAGCATTGAATCTTTGTGAAGCATCACAAGTGTTTTTGATGGATCCATGGTGGAATCCTAGTGTTGAATGGCAATCGATGGATAGAGTTCATAGAATTGGACAAAAGAGACCAATCAAGATTACCAGATTTTGTATTGAAGATAGTATTGAACTGAAAATTATTGAATTACAAGAAAAGAAAGCTAATATGATTCATGCTACGATTAATAATGACGATGCAGCCATAAGTAGATTAACTCCTGATGATTTACAATTCTTGTTTACTAATTGAATTTGTATGTTCAATCAGATTTGTATATAGTTTGTGTAAATGAATCAAAATGAATAAATAGAAAATTACTGCAAAAAATTCTTACTGTACAAAAGCACACTAAAAAATGACAATAGTTGAGCTTGTGTAAGTTCAGTGACTCATTTAAGGCAAAAAAAATTTTTATCAGTGAACAAAATGAAGAAGACAGAAAAAAGAAAATTTTTTTTTTCATCTAAGGTGAGAGTGGTTTGCGGCTTTCGTTGCCAAAATGAGTAATCGCGGTGTAGTAGTATATTTAGCAAAGCGTTATCGGGAGGAACTGTACAATTTTTTTTTCTTCTCTCAGTCTTACTCATTTCCTACAAAAGACTGGTGGGGATTGCAAGTTTAGTTTATAAAGACTGAAAATTATTCATTTAAAATTTTTCTTTTTTTTTATTTTATTCATTTCTTTCTTTCTCTTTTTCTTTGAACCAAATTTACAATTATCAATTGAAACATGTCTGACTTTTGGATAAACTATTTAGATAATCCTACATTATCTGTTTTACCCCATGATTATTTAAAACCTGCTAACAACAAATCTGTTGAAGGTACCTACTCATTTGAAGTTTCTTCACAACCATCAGATTTTAAATATGGCTTAACTGTCTTTGCTGCTTTGGTTTACAGATTAACTGGTGATGAAGATATTGTCATTGCTACTGATGCTTCTGCTAATACCCCGGAATTTATCATTCGTTTGAATTTAACACCAGAATTGACTTTTACCCAACTTTATGATAGAATTAGTCAAGAATATGACAACAATGTTTCTAAAGTCAACTACACTTCGCTAACTGAAGTTGCTCATAACATCAAGAAAGCCAAAAACTTGGAAGATCTTCCAGGATTGTTTAGATTGTCATATCAACATGCAAATGATAATCAACAATTGAATACTACCGTTGAAGGGTCTGTTCGTGATTTGGCTATTTTCACAGACGGTTCCAAATTCACTATATTCTATAATGCTTTATTATACTCCCATCAAAGAATTGTGATATTTGGTGAGCAATTCAATCAATACTTGTCCAAAGTCCAAAAAGATACCAATATTGGCATCACTAAAGTTAATTTGATCACTGATTCACAGAGACTGCAATTACCTGATCCAACAATAGATTTGGACTGGTCTGGATATAGAGGTGCAATCCAAGACATTTTCATGGATAATGCCAACAAACACCCTGATAGAACATGTGTTGTTGAAACTGAATCATTTATGGATTCAAGTTCCAAAACAAG